GGGAGCAGGCTATGCAGCATGCTTACAGTGTAAATGCAGCTATACACATATGCAGCACCACAGAAGAAGGCCCACCTCTGAGAGGCAACATATATACGTATGCTGATTAACAAGGGGTATTAAAGCATTACCATCACAGCCAGTTAAGTATCTTTTTTTTTTTTTTAGGAGGTCAGCAATGGCAGTCTCTTATCTCTCTCATGCTAGTTCAACTTTAAAATCTGTAGGATAAAATATATGATTCTTACTTTGCTATGCAATATTAATAATTGCACAAACATGCTGTATATACTCTTCAGTCAAATCTTCTCACCATAGAGGCCACACTTTGATCTAAAACACAATAGCGTCGATTCACAAAGCTGCATGACTTTACATGCTTTTGTTATCTTCTCTCATAATATTTAAATCAAAATGTTAAATTAAAAAAAATGATCACATTGGAGTGGAATTATTTCTCAATACAAAATGACCATTTACCCATTGAATTTGTATTTTATCTCCACCATGAATGACACCTTTTTTTCCCTTCTCAATAGACATCTCATAGAAATTCACTACTATTGTCATCTGTACTTTAAGAAGCAAAATCCTGTGCACTTATCTTTGTGAATAGGCTTTTACAAACAATAGACTGCAAAAATGTATAATATACACACTTTAGAGGATCCAAGTGATAAAACCTTTCTGAATTAAAAAAACAAAACATTAAAATTTGCAAACAACATATAGTCATTAAAATAATGCATGTGTTATGCTTTTTTTAATAGGAGCGAATGTAGGCCACAAGTGTAACAACTTTTAGGCCCCTTTCACACGACCTGTCAGTTTTTCAGGCGGACCTGATGGGACAGTCCATTCATTTCTATGGACTGGAGGGTGTAAACGGACTTGAGTCCGTTTACTCTCTCCTACCTCTGATCTGCTAAAAAAAAACAGAAGGGGATCCATTCTACTCCGTTTAGGCAGATCGGATCAGAGGTACTCAGGTGTAAATGGACAGCGGAGTCCGTTTACACCTGGCTGCCCCCTGAGCAGAGCGGGCTCAGTCCGTATTCACTCTGCAAAAACCGAGCGGACACGAACCTGTCATCTGCCTGCTCTGCTCAGTAGGGGACCAGCGAAAAGATCCCCTGCTGAGTAAATTGGATTCTGCCCCTATGAAAGAGGCCTTATCCATGAGCATTAAAGTTTGGTCAACACTGGATAAAGTGTCCAACTAATACACTATAACTGTGGCTGATTAAAGAGCATCTTCCCACAGAAAGATTTCTTGCTGCTTCCAGCAACATTGGGTTTCGTTTTCTCAATCATGCCATTTGCAGAATTCCTCTATTTACTTTCTAACCAATTTCCTCAATGGCTATTGCTGCAGTGCAGACTCTTCAGAAAGTCAACAAAATGGCAAATAGTGGAGTTCTGACAAAACACATCCTAGAAACACATACATATGTGCCAAATGCTTCTAATGACAACATACCTGAAAGCAAGAAAAATCTGCAACTGTGTGGAGAAGCTCTTTAATTTTATTCTATATTTGATGACACTCAGAACACAGGTGAGTGGTATAATGTGTAGTGAAAAGATTGTGGAGGCTCATTTTACAGGGACAATTTAAAATAATAAACGCACTATTAAACAATGGTAAAAAGAAAAAAAGCTTAAAAAATTGATGAAAGTTTGTTAACCCCTTCAACCTTGTTTCAGCATACAATGACATATGCACTTCTGGATTTTGTTTTTTTTGTTTTTTTTTAAAGCTGCAAGTGAAATTTAACCAGAAGATGATGTTCTAGTTATGGAAATATGATGGAGGATATTTTTTTAAGGAATGGGAGGCACTGTAGTATTTTAGTACCAGGGAATTGGGTAATTATCAGTTGAGGTCTTTGGCACCCACAGACTCTGTAATTGCGTGTCACTTAGTTCTTCCATCAGAACCTTTAGACAACCCTCAGTCAGTCTTCCAAACCTTGTTCAGAACCTTCACCACTTCATCATAGATTATAAAGACAATGGCTACATCTAAACAGACACGTCCAAGACGAGGAACAGTCCCCTTGTAGAACCTAAAAAAGGGGGAGATGACAACTTTAGACGCTGGCAGGACACTTTGGAAATATTGCAATGTTAAAATGAGTCTATGCCACATGTAAAGATAGAAGAAAGATTAAGTGAATTGGGTACGAAAGGATATGGAAACATCAAGCAATGTTTTCATGAAATTAGTAACTCACGCTTTGGGGTCCCTCATACTTGAGTATCTTATAAGCACAGTCCAATGTACTTTTGTATTTATGAGCTTCCAGCCCCTGCAAAACAAAATAATTAACCTGTATTATCTTCAAACTGCTCAGGGCAAAGAGATCTACCACATCTGTCATATTTTTTATATAACACACCCAAAGACACAATCTTCCTCCCTATATAGGATGAGAAGCATCTCACACAGTTTTATAGGTTGATGGTGCTAAAAGAGATCTGTCCAATCCTATGTACAGAGCTGAACAGAAATGCCATTTTCATTGCCCTGAAAAAGTAGGATATTTAAATTGAACATTATATAGAGGATCTATCATGAAAATCAACATTTTTGTTTTTGAATAAAAAAAGCCCCTTTAGTCTTTACTGTGTATATTGATTTTTTTTTTTTATGCTTTATTTCATTTTTAAATCTACTATTCTTTGTACGAGAAACATAATTTTAATCTCTATATAAGACAATATCAAAAGAAAAGACTTTGTTTATCAGCAAAAAAAGAATATATGTATTACTTTCTTATCTTAATGTTGTTCTAAAGTCAAAACGTTGTTTACTTTAATACATTCCCATCATTAAGGTAACCCCCCCCACCTGTTTTACCTCCCTGCGTCCATACCTAAACACATACCTGTCCCGGCTGCAGGACAGCTCCTCTCACTGCCTGGTCTCACAAGAGACACTGAGGGCAATGGGAGTTACAGTCTCCTGCTGCTGTCAGTCAAACTCCAGTGAGGAAGGAGTGGGGCCATGGCTTACTGACACTGTGTTTGTCTATGGATGCACAAAGCCTGGTTGGGAGTGAGCCTAAAGAGGCACCTAAAGGAGAGAGGAGTGGACAGAGCCAGCGGGGGACAGCCAAAGAGGAAGTAAGGGACCTCTCTGTGCAAAATAATTGCACAGAGCATGTAAGTATAACATCTTTTTTATTTTAACACAAAAAATGATCCTTTAATATCACTTTAAGTAATTACAAAGTCATTGCCGATCAATCAGGTCCATAGCAGAAATGTAAAAAAGCTCTGGTCCATAGATGCAAGCTAAGGAGAGAAATATAGTAATAGACCATTTTCTAGTTAAAATGTAAGCTCTTTGTAGGTATAGCCTATTGCATTATTAACCAATTATAACAACCAGGTGCTAATGATCAATGACAGAATCTGTATGTTGAACCAAACTAATTAAGTGAAAATAAGCAAAACCAATGACATCACAAGTTCTTCCTCTGGAAGCGATGGGGGCAGTTCTTACTGCTGAACTAAACAGAGCTGAAACAATTAGGTGTGAGTGCTGCTCAGTGCAGTAGTACTATGAACCTGGGTTGTGCAATGGTACCACCCAAGAGTATGAGTCCATGACAGCACAATGTAAAAGAAAGTGGGTTGGATGACACTGGCCCTCATACAACACGAAAGACTGGTGACATCTAGTGGTGGGACAAAATTAATGCAATGAGCAGCTCTGGATTGAAGGTGAGTATTGCCGCAAAAGCTGCTTTCTTACTCTTCTAACAGGTCAATTTTTTTTCTGCATTGGCATCTCTGGGCTTAAGTGTTCTTTATCTGATAAATTTAAAGAGTTTGGAAGCTATGGGATAATAATATCTTATAGTTGTAGAATAAAGCTAGAAATCCATCTGGGCCCAATTGTTTGTGTGTTTTGAGTTATTTTACTGTCTGGCAGATTCCATCTTTAGTAATATGTTCTTCTAAAGCATTTCTATAATTCTGGTAAATTGAATTTATAAATTCTTACAGACCTGAATCTGAATTAGAGGGTGTAGCAGAGTCTAAATATAGTTAAGCAAAGTGGAATGTAAACACAAACAATTATCTTCTATTATGTACACCCTTTTTGTCTGTTAAATAAAGCACTACAAGCATTTTGTTATATCTGTTGAATAAGTGCAAATAAATGCCAGTTGATCATGCCAAAATTATGTTGAGCTCCTCATTTCCTGCACTGAACTGGCAACACAGTGCGTCTGCCGCACTGAAATCTAAAACAATGTTATTAGCCCCACGAGTTCTGTCGACTGCAGAACTCTAAACATCCTGACTTAGGGTGACAACACTGACTCTCTTTGGTACAGTGCAGTTAGTGAGCGTCATCTTGTGACAGGAAGTGTGTTATTGGCAGGATCACTGGGGGAATATGAGAAAGTAAAGGAAAAAAAAAAAAGACTGAAAACAATATATGTAATGCAGGGACTGAAAGGACTGATAAGCTGCAATATATTGCATTTTAATCTTGGGTTTAGATGCAGCAATACAAGTAAGCATGTAAGTGTTTTAACTCGCTGCTGTGCCCTCCAACCCTGCTGCTGGCAATTTTCTCACAAGTATATCAGACATACACTTTTTTATACGTACATTTAGAGGAACTCTCCGATTAGTTCAATTTAGGAGACACAAATAGCTAAACCTTTACAAACAAATGGCCTAATCTACAGGGAAATCTGAAGGAAGAACTGCTTCATAGAGCCCATGTAGACCTCAAGCAACCAATCACCATTTTCTGTTGTTTCTTACACTGTAATGGAAGAACCAGATGAATTACTGTGGGGCAACACAAACAGCCTGAGACTATTACTCCCTCAGAAGAAAATGAGGCTCAGTGTCGACTGCAGTAGAAATATATATGTTAACATTGCAGTTCATATTACCTGCATCCTGGTCTTCACTACATCCAAAGGAGTGTTACCAAAGACACTGGCAGCTCCTGCAATGGCTCCAAATGCTCCTGTTATTAGTGGGTTCATTGGTTTGTTAGGATTGTCACCTGAGATGTTAAAGAACACATATTACTGCAGTTCTATGCAGTCTCATATACATCTATAAAGGCCAGTTCTTTCTTGTCAAAGTACAGTTTTCACATAGCTCATAAAATTAAAGAAAGTGGTTTGCTTCAATGATATTACTGCTCAAGCAGAGGCTGATCTAGTTGCCATTATAAACAAGTACGGAATTTCTCAAACTAATTTTATACAAAGCAATCATTTTCTGAATTGGCAAATAAGGGGCCTTTTGGACAAAAAAAAAAAAAAAAAAAGTAAATATGTAAGTATATGATAAAGTCAGATGAATTTCAGGGATGTCATACTGAGCAGATTCAAACTGCTGACTTGAATTTTTTAAAGTTGTGACTGTGTGGCTAGAAAGGCACATAATATATCTATACTACATACAATAAGATAATTTGCTTGTGAAATACAAAGCTGCTTTAACCTCCCTGGCGGTCTGATTATGTCAATATTTTTAAATGTCAAAGTGGTACATTGTTTTGCATGGAAATTTGTTGTTTTATATTGTAGGCCTGTAATTCTTGGGAATAACTCACTGAAATCTGTCCAAACAAGATTCTAGTAAACATCCCGGGTATGATAAAGTTTGAAACAGGAAATAATAAATTATAATATAATAAATAATTATAAAAAATAATATAATACATTTAATTCAATATTATAATCTAACCAAAAACAACTTTTGACCTAAAGGGACGCTTTTTAGATGCCATGGATGTTCTCAAGTTTCCAGGCAGAAAGAATGGTAAAAGTGCAGGCAGGGCACTGGACAAAGCACTAGGGACAAAACTGAGGTGAAATGGTTTGATACAGTAATGTAATCCTCAAAGATTACAATGTATTGTGTGTTTGTCATGTTTTGTTTACTTTTTTGAATCTACCGCCGGTTCTGAGCCCCTGCGTTGCGGCACTCGCAGGGAAGGGAACCTGGAAGACGGATGCCGACATCGGCCGGAGGACACAGTGGGAGGACATTGGGAAATCGCAGGAAGAAAGTAAGTTACACTACACTGTAATCCTGAGTGTGGCTCGGGGTTACAGCTTTTGGTACTGAAAATTAAACGTGAGCCACACTCGGGATTACCGCCAGGGAGGTTAAACATCAGGAAACAAAATTATGTGAATTACACAGTCACCAAAAGAAGTTATGGAATAGGACGGTATTAATTAAACTAGGTTATTTAATAATAATAAAAAACAATCTATGGAAGGCACATATTAGGAAAAATTGTACCTGTCATAGGATATAACAATAGTCAAAAAGCATAATGAAAGAGGAACTATCTGGGACAGTTACAGAAGGAAAGAGAGGTATACAACAAGCACAGCCAAATTATGTACCTCTATACCAGTTCCGCAGAGAGGTCATGACAAAGAAGCGAATGGCTTGGTTGGATCCTTGTTTAAGTACTGTAGCTGTAAGACCTTGGTAAGTCCCTTTAATGCCTAGGGGGGAAAAAAGTACAAATGACAACAGCCAGACTATAATGATGAAATATGCAAAGAAAGCATATCCATTTCAATAAACCACAAAGTAAATAACAGAGTATGTGATCCTGTGATCACGGCTGCAATGCTTTCCAGGCTCAAATGCAAAAACAAAATAAAAAAATAACGATGCACATTTTTGCTTTATGTAATATGAGTGCATTTATTCATTTTTATAAATTTTTTTTTTACAAAAGGATGAGTTTGACTTTAAAAACCCTGCAAATCCCCCCCCAAAACAAAAAAAAAAAAAAAAACCCCAGCAAGTACGAAAAAAAAAAAATTGTGTTGAACCAGAAATACACTCAACTCTTAAAGCTCAACTCTGAAAACCTGTAAAATTATATCATGCAGTGGCGCTGCACCCGCACTGCAAGGATTCACTACTTGGTTTGTCTAGGGAAGATAAACACCTTTACTTTCCTGATCCTGTGCTCTTCCAGTAGATGGTGCTCCCCCACGCTCCAGTGGTGGACTATCCCTTGGACTCTTCACATCCAGTGCAGGGCTATGGGTCCTGCACTGGTGCTAAGGACACCAGGACCTTGGACTGGCGGAGAATAGGGGAGAAGACACTGTGGATACCAGTCTAGCAACAGGGAGGAGTGGAGGGTAGGGTAAGTAAATCTGCTTTTCTGTGTCCCCCAAACTTAAATGAGCAATTACCCTTGCAATGCAGGCACAGCCCTACTGTAAGGGATAATTTTATAGTTTCTCAGAGTTGGGTTTTAAGCCCTTTTTTGAACTGATGACACACCTCATTCTTGTGGTGTAAGCCCTCTTAGCTGTCTTTTGCTAAACTACTCAACCACTCCTACGCTCATATTTTTGTAACAAAAAGGCTAATCATCCTGTAGTGCATGATAAGAACTAGTAGGGCTTTTTGAGATAATATAAGGAGAAAACGCATGATATCTGAATTTCTCAATTATATTTAAATATATTACTGTTAAAAATACACAGAGAGAAACTTATACCTTGATTTCGAATAATCTCCCTGACTCCATGGTAAAACCCTCTGTACTTTGGATTTGGAGAGCTCTGGTCATGAATAAACTTCACCTAAAGGAGAAAAAATAAATTTAATGTAGATCTCTCATGCTTATGTTACCTAACATGTTGTCCATCATGAATGTTGTTAAATGAGACTTTTGAGGGGTTTGAATATATCCTCATCCATAAAACTATAATCCCTGGAATTCATAAAGGCCGGCTCAGACAGATTTTGCAAACGTGTCTCATGTGCATTCTAAAAGTGGCACAGCATGCCCCAAATGCATGTACCTTGTGCTTAAAATTTGGCTCAAGCTGTGGCACTTTTAGAATGCATGAGAGACACTTTGCAAAATCTGTCGCTGTACGCCAAAAGAAAGTTGGTCTAAATTAGGTCCACTTTCCTAAGATAGGAACTGTCGGTATGTTATTCTGACCTTGGAGCAGGTGTTGTGCCACTATGTAGAAGTGAGGCAAATGATAAGTACCTGAATTTGGCATGAGTCTCTGTCAGAACCAAAATTGTTGCAGATGTTTTTTTTTTAATCTGGCTCAACACAAGAGCAATTAAAGCCAGGAAAGTGGCGCACCAGCTTTATTGAACCCCCCCGACATGTCTTGTAAAGTAATTTGCACTAAACATTTCAAGAATCCCTTATTTTATGTATACATTTTTAACAAACTATTTGAAAACCAGATGATAACATTTAAAATACACATTCCAATGTAAACAGATAAAAGTTTTAATTCCCAAAGCATGCATATAAACAATCTATTAAAAATCTCGATACATTGTTTAGCACAGACCGATCAATTACAACACGTTTACGTAACAGGTAATGAAAGCACTAAAGCCAACCAAGCAATGTGCTGATTATCACTGTTCACACAACTTGCATTCAGACCAAAAACCAAACAAAAGGTTCAGTTCTGCAAAATGAACACTGGATGGCGACAAAATACAACATTGAGAAAGGTACACACCAACCAAAATGTAAAAATGAAAGGCCAAGTTCACCTTTGTAGAAAAATAAAATAAATGCACTTTTCTTTTTTGCAGGTAACAAAAATGTGCATTTATTATTTTTTCTTAGAAGCCTATGAAGTACTGCATGCACAATCAGCAGATTGTGGGTGCAAAGACCTTAGATTGTACGCCCCTTGAGGGTTAGCGACTGATGTGAATGTTCAATATATATGTAAAGCGCTGCGTAAATTGACTGTGCTATAGAAGTATCTGTAATACATAAATAATAATGACAGGATCTTCCTCAGTATAGCTGTCTGCCTGTACCTGCCATACAAGCAGAGAGTTACTAAAGAGCAAAAAGAATCAATGAACTATGAGGGAGCTCACCAACCCTCTCAGTTCATTGAGAACTACAAGCCATCTGCCATGGTGGCAGACAGTATTTGTAGTTCATTCATTCACAGAACTCTGAATGAATGACGTGGGTGCGTTCTTTTTTTTTTTTATTCTGACAGTGGGTGCTGGGAAAGTATCCCCCGCCCGCTGTCACAATAAGGGATCAAGGGGGTTGCAGGGCTGCTTTAGTAACATATTATACCCTGAATACATATAGAGCACGTAATATGTTACTAAAGTTAAACTTAGACTTTAAGTCTTAAAGTGTTACTAAACCCACAACAGTAAAATCAGTTTGTATATGCAGTAAAGAATGCTTGTTATACTCACTGTGGAACATAAGGGGTTAATCCTCTGCATTGTGTAAAAAGGATGTTTAATCCTGTTTTCTCTGCCTCTCCTCTTGTTCAAATGTCCACGTCTTATCTCCTGATAAGACAGACTGAACCCGTAGCCATTCTGCACATGCTCAGTTTAGTATGTATTGCTGGAGAGATTTTTTTTTTTTTTGGGAGAGTGGTCAGGGGTTCTGCATCCTCCTACAGCAAAATGAAATACCTCCTACAAGCTTTAACCAGTGCTCTGCTGGACACTGATAGAAGTGACAAGACTGCTCTAACTGCTGATGAGAAAAGGTATTTAGCAGTTTATATTTAGTAAAATAAGTACATTTCCATGTTGTGTGTACTGTGGGAGACCAGATATAATGAATGCAGGGTCCTGGGTTTAGTAACACTTTAAGCTTTAAAACCCTCTTATATTGGCTAACTTGAATTAATAAAGAGGCAAACTGCTAGGAAAACTTTCATCAGACTTCATACATTTCTGAAAATGGTTCTGAAACTCACATTTATATACAGTTACAAGGAGAGGCATGAAATATATACATTTAAAGCCCAAGTTTACATAAAGTAAAAAAAAATGAAATTAGAAGGGATATTACTTACCTTAATTGAGATGTGTCCCTCATCAAGAGTGCCGACTATGTCTGCCCTTCCTGCCAGCTGCTCCACTTACAAAAGCTGTAACATACAGCTTACATGAATGAAAGAGGACCTATGAATGGAGGATGGGCAGATGATTGAAAGCTTTGCCTCCTTCATCCATAAATCGTGTTTCATTCATAGAAGCTGTTGTAATGGCTTCTATGAATAGAGTAGTTGGGCAGAAAGACACTCTTGATGAGTGCCTGTCACAGCCCCTTAGTTCTATTAGTCCCCGCTGCACTGAAAGATTGTGGCAGTGGTGCAAAAGGGACAAAGGCATCGGAGTTATCCCAAAAGCTTGTATCTTTAATAACTCAAGATAGACAATAAAGGCTATCACTTCAAACTCCACATTGTATGCATTTTGATACTACTGCTAAAATTAAGCCTTGAAATACTTAGTTTATCCATCATAGCTGGTTATGATAATTTGATGTGAGAACATTTGTTGCTAACCTGTGTGAAAACGCAACCTTTCCTTATATGTGTCTCACAATTAGAAAGCAAGTTGCACAAGGCAGAATTATGTGACAAGAAGCTAAGTTCTGAATATTTGAACTGACCATATAAGGTGGACATGATTATATAAAGCTAAGTCAAGAGTATGATGGAAGAAACCATTCCCATACTCCCATATTTTGTGCTAATTCCATGGCTACAACTGCCCCATACACAGCACACTAGATTTGAGGAGCTGCACCTTTCCTGAAGTACTATGCTTCATAATGATTTCCCCTTAGAACACCTACAATGCTTCTCAGATACCATTAGCAGTTCACTGCCTAGCAGTGGTCTCACTTCCTTTAGGCACTCTTTAACTGACCATACTGTATCAAACAAACTGATATACAAACTGTGCTCACGCTGAAAAATACAGCAATCCTTTAGTGCAGGGGTCTCCAAAATTACTAAACTAAGGGCCAGTACATGGTCCTTCAGACTGTGGTGTGGGGGGGGGGGGGGGGGGGGGGGGGGGGGGATAGACTGAGGCCAGTGAAAGTATAAAATGTAGACAATACCTCATCATTGGTGTCAGTGGTGGAAATAGTGCCCCATTGGTGTCATTAGGAGGAATTTTGCCCCTTCATTTATGTCAGTGGGAAGAATAGTTCCCCACTGTTGGTGTCATTGGGAAGAATTGCGCCCCACCGTTGGTGTCATTGGGAAGAATTGCGCCCCACCGTTGGTGTCATTGGGAAGAATTGCGCCCCACCGTTGGTGTCATTGGGAAGAATTGCGCCCCACCGTTGGTGTCATTGGGAAGAATTGAGACCCACCGTTGGTGTCATTGGGAAGAATTGAGACCCACCGTTGGTGTCATTGGGAAGAATTGCGCCCCATCTTTGATGTCATTGGGAGGACTTGTGCTCCATTGTTGGTGTAATTAAGAAGAATTGCGCCCCATTGCTGGTGTCATCGGAAGGAACTGTGCCCCATTGTTGGTGTCATAGGGAAGAATTGTGCCTGTACATTGGTGTTAGGGGAGGACATATGCCCAACTGTTGGTGTCAGAGGATGGCATAGTGTCCCAAGGACCGGATAAAAGAAAGCAAAAGGCCTGCAGGCCACAGTTTGGAGACCACTGCTTTAGTGCATTACATTGATGACTTCAAGCTGTACTGTGGGCAACAGAAATAGACTCATTTCTACACTTCAGCCACAGCAGGTTGAAAGTGAACAGAAAAAGTAGGTAAATATGAGCAGTAAGCAGCAACACCACTGTATCACTGCTGCCTTCCTAACTGCTGTCCAATTATAAAACACAGACAGCTCTTTCCCCTTCCGTCCAACAACCTGATGTACCTGCAGCATAAGATATTCTTCATGTAATAAGGCTCAGTGATGGGCAGAACACAAAGAAACATGGAGGTTTCTTGGTAGGGGTAGGAAGGGTAAACCCTGAACCCTGCAACAACCTAGGCTCGAATGCAACTAATGTAGGCAGCTTGGTGATGTTGGCACTTAACTGCAGAGGGTTGGCTAGCAGACCAGTTGCTCAGCGCATAGGAAGCTAGGTGGGTGGCCTATTGCCCCAGACAGGAAATAGGTGCCTTCTGACTGTCAGAAGGCAACCTATGCAGACATCTGAATGCTTATCAGACATTAGTTGTGCCCATAGTTCAGTTTTAAACTAAAATAAATGATACCATTCCAATTACAAGGGGCATTCAAGTCAAACCAGGACCTACACGCAGTAGAAAGTGGCAAGTGTGTCCTATTACGGATAGGCAGCACACATGTCACGGGCAAGTCCAGAGGTCATGAATCAAGATGGCAGACAACAGTGTTAGTGTGTGCATGGAACAGCATGTGCTGATGAAGTTTCTTGTGAATGAAGGCATAAAACCCACAAATATCTACAGAAGACTTCAAGCACAGTACAGTGATGAGCCACTCAGCCACAGCAAGACATTTGCATGGTGTAAACGGTTCAAAGTTGGCCATATGTCCATCAGTGACGTTCCCAGACATGGTGGTTGCAAGCCGGTAGCAGTCATTCCTGTGAGCATTGGAATGCCTCATCCTGGATAATTAACGCATAACCTGTCATGAAATTGCACAAGACACAAAACTTTCTGTGGGAACAGTGATTCACGAAGTGAACAAGGCTGTCCTAGGATGGTTCAGATGTACTGACAAATCTTTCTATGCCAAAGCTTTCCAGGCATTAGGTAAATGCTGGGATAAGTGTATAAATATAGCAGGGGAGTATGTTGAAAACTAAATGCAGTATCCACTTCTTGAATTGTATTCTTTTATTATATAATCTCAAAAGTCCTGGTTTGAGTGCCCCTCGTATATATATCACAATATAAATATCCTGGTTACTGTCCTCCAATAGTGGAACGAAAAAGGTAGCTGTTGTCTATATTGACCAGTCACCTGGCAGCTGTTGTTTTCCAGAGGAAGCAAGATGAACCTGATTGGCAGCAATGAAAAGCACCTTAAATGTTATGTTCATCTGCTATTATAGATAGCTTTAGTGGTACTTTATTGCTTAGTACTGTTTTGTTATATAATTTGTTATATAATATAGTTATTGCCCTAACAATGAGAAATGAAATATGGGAGTGGGCAAGTTAATGAAAAAGTGAGACACTAGTCAAATTAAGGGTACTGATTTCCACTGATATTAAATTACTCTGTTGGTAGTCTCCGGTCCAAACCCCTCTGCTATTGTGCATAAGTCATCTTGTTTGTTTCACAGCTTTGTTTTGGATCCTGTCTCGCTTCTCTGACACGAGGTTTAATTACCCTGTTCTTCTATCCACACAGCAAATCCTCCGGGAGCACACAGCGTGGCGATCGGTGGTGCGCTGTGTCCCTCGGACACAGCGGATCAACAGAAAGAGCGGATCAACGGAACGGAAGGTGTCGGCTCGGTCATGTGATCAGCTGTGTCCAAATCACAGCTGATCGCATGTAAATAGGGAAAAGACGGTTATCGGCATTTCTCTCCTCTCGACCTGTCACACTAACAGCTCGAGAGGAGAGGAGACCCGGTATATGGCATCCCTCAGAGGGGACATGTGCACTGCTCATCAGGGCACTGATGATCAGTGTGCCCTGATGATCAGTGTAGCCCCAGCAGTGCCACCTGTCAGTGTCCATCAGTGTCAGCTGTCAGTGCTCATCCATGCCACCTGTCAGTGCTCATCAGTGCCACATCAATGCCACATATCAGTGCCTACCAGTGCACATCAATGCCACATATCAGTGCCCATCTGAGCTGCCTTTCCGTGTCACCTATCAGTGACAGTCAGTGCCACCTATCAATGCTAATCAGTGCTGCCAATCAGTGCCAGTCAGTGCCGCCTATCAGTGTCAGTGCCGCCTATCAGTGTGCAGTGCCTATCAGTGCTGCCTAACAGTGCCAGTCAATGCCGCCTATCAGTGCCGGTCAGTGCCGCCTATCAGTGCCATTCAGTGCTGCTTATCAGTGCTGCCTATCAGCGCCATATATGAGTGCTGCCTTTCAGTGCCCATCAGTGATTCCTGTCAATGCCCATCAGTGCCACCTATCAGTGTTCATCAGTGCAGCCTCATTAGAGCACATCAGTGAAGGAGAAAAATCACTTATTTACAAAATGTTACAACAAAAACTAAGAAAAAAGTTTTATTTTTCAAAATTTTCAGTTGTTTTTGGTTTGTTTAGCAAAAAATAAAAAACCCAGAGGTGATTAAATACCACCAAAATAAGGCTCTATCTGTCTCAAAAAAATGATAAAAATTTCATATGGGTACAGTGTTGCATGACTGCGCAATTGTCATTCAAAGTGTGACAGCGCTGAAAGCTGGAAATTGGCCTGGGCAGAAAGGGGGTATAAGTGCCCTGTAGGCAAGTGGTTAAGATGCATTTGATTTTTGGGTTCACTGAGGCCCCTATATGTCATATACACATACATACTTTGTCTATGTGTGTCCCTCTATGGTGGGCTGTGGGGGCTCGCACATTTCTCTACCTCTCAGGACATACTTGCATATCGTTGTTACCAAATGCTTTCTTACTTGTACTCAAATGTCTTGGGACATTTGGTAGAGCCTATTGTTTTGATGAAATTGTTAATAAAGATATAATAAACCTAAATTGCTATGTTGGTAAAATGAAATAAAAGATACCTATGAAAAAAAAAGATATTAAATAATTGCTTCTCCTGCTGTCAGCACTGCCAAACACTGCTGTAAAATAAATTGCCTCTTGAAGATTCTTCTGAAGCCCATACTTCTAGGAGTGTCAGTCTCCTGGTCCTAGTGCGCAATGATTGCTCCTGCCCATGACTACATCTCTACAGGACACAGTAGTGACACAGAGATTGGCAGGAAAAACTATAGTACAGGACCAGAAATCTGACACTGTATAATTAGATTGTATTGTGTGTAGCCTGCTTAACAGAAACGGTTTTAAAAGAAGCCACTGTAATATTTGTTACCTGCTTTGGTCACCCAGCTGTTGCAATTTTGTTTACCATTAGTTATTTTAACTGTAGGGACAGAATCTCACCTTGATAGTTTCCATGGGACAAACTACTACAATAGCTTCAGCCACACCAGCACCGAGGCCACATATCAAACTGCGCTTACTGTCCAATTTCCCGTCAGCATCCCGCATCTGATTACTGAGGAACTCAAACATCCCAAATCTGTGGAAGGAAGCAAGGCTTTCAGGAACACACTAATGAAAGCTGTAAATAGAAACGTTATAATAAATAGTGATATAGGCACACAAAAATAGGATTTTTTTGTACTCCCAGTAAAATTCCCATTTTTGTAGTTCATTGAGGGAAATGGGAATTGAGAGGCTATTGAATTATACCGTTGCCTATGGGAGGATTTGAATACTGGTAAATAAAAAAATAGTGCCAGCCAGGTATAATTGCTGGGTCTGGAATGGAATTGAGCAAATGGGACGTCCTTGAAAGAAGCTACCATCAGGCCCAGAACTCTAATATTGGGCAACAGCTTGACTGCAGAGTTCAAGTCTGGGAGCAGAGAGTGTGATGTTTCTCCTGAGGAAGGAAAACTCTGATTTGAGCGGTGTCTAGGATAAGACCCAGGTATTCTAAATCAGTAGTCCGTTCCAATGCAGACTCTTGAAATTACAGGGCCAAGCCAAACCTCTGTAAGATCTTGACTGCTCAGGCTACATTTTTGGCCAGAACCTGTTCTGACTGTTTCCTTCAACAGAAAGTCTTTCAGATATCCCACATCCCAGGATGCCCTGGAAGCGCAGCAAGGGGCCAGCACTTTAGTGACTACCTAAGGTGCAGAAGATAGGCCGAATGAGTGGTCCACAAACTGGAAGTACTGAGGACCCGAGAAATGTGAGGAAATTGCAAATGAATTGGAGAGATTGGGACACACAAGAACACATTCTTGATGTTCAGAGATGTCAGAAAGTCTGACCTGGTGGATTCCATAAGGTGTTTCTGAGCCCAAATGAAGGCATTTAAGGCTTCAAGACCCAATATAGGATAAATGTTCTCTTTTGGTTTGGAAACTTTGAACAGATTGGGGTAAAACCCCTAAAACTATCCTGCCACTGGCACTGGGACTATGCCCTGCTGCTCCAGAAGACTCATGAGGGGTTGCACAGAAGCCTGCTAATCTGTGCAGTGACATAAGTAGGTTGGAAGGCTTAAACCCGGGAGTGGGTGTATGTTTTTGTGGGGGGGGGGGGGGGGGCTCAAGAGAGAACAATTTTAGCTTGTAGTCCCTGAATACTACATCCCTCATTAAGGTATCTGAGAAGCTGGCTGTCCAAATGTCTGCAAAAGGAAAACATGCTAAAGATTTCTGAGGATTTGGGAGACTTGAAAGTCCAGGGTTTACTGATCAAATGTTAGCCAGACTTGGTCTTGGCTTTTGAAGCAGAGCCCTGGTAGTAATGAAAGGGCCTCAGAGGAGGGAAGAGCGTCCCAATTTGAGCAATAGGCTTCTTCTGTTGGAGTAGATATATACTCTTGCCCCCAGTAATGTCATTGAAAAGGTGTTCAGTGAAGGTCCAAAACTTTTTTTTTTTTTTTGCATGCCAGTTCTGCAGTTCAAAACTTTAGCCAGAGAGTTTCCCTGTTCACTAACATAAGACTCACACAGAAATAGACCTCTAGCAAGAAGACTACGCAATATCGCAAGACTGCAGGCACTAGCCCTAAATGCTCTTTAATAAGAAAATCAACTTGCTGAGTAACAGCATTCCTTCTGAATGCCTTGGTCCTGTCTGTTGGAAGACTATGAGCCAGCCAGGGCAGGTGGCACAGCAGGGCTTGCAGTGAACAACACTTTCAGAAAGTAGCTCCAAATGCTTCTTGGTGGGGTTCTTAAGTACAAGAGTATCCTGCACAGGGAAGGTCAAGGCTTTGTTACGACAAGAAACTGCTGGTTCAACAATGGGGGCATGTTTAATAAAGTTCACCTCAAGCAGGTATAGTGCTGCTATCTGTTTATGGGGAGTGACTAGGGTGAACAGTGGTTAAGCCTGAAAAGAATTAGTGGTCTTGGGACAGAAGCCGAGACTAGGAAGAGCACTAGTAGAAGCTGCAGTCTGGTTCTCAAGATTTAAAGTAGTGTGAACTGCATTAACAAGAGCTGAGAATATCTCTTTAATTCCAGGGGTAATGGCAGCTCTTCAGGTGTAGAGTTGTCAGGTACTGACTTAAGAGACTCCGCATGAGATAGAGCCTCAGCGGTTGGGAGTTCAGATAAGGATTCCGCACGTTTATAACTTCTGCAGTCTGAGTCAGCAAATAAAGTTGTTATATAGCCCATGAAATCCTACATGACTGCCCTGAAATCCTCTGGGACTGTACTTAACAAAGCGAAGGAAGACTCACAAGGCGACGCAGACTAAATACTCACGAATAAACTGCTGGATGCAGGTGAAATTCATGTGTTTGGAGGTAACCAGATCACTGTAGTTGGGCAGCAATGACCAACTGGGGTTGGATTAACCACTTAATTACTGGGCATTTTCATCCCCTTCCTGCCCAGGCCCAATTTTCAGCGGTCAGCTTTGAATGACAATTGCGTGGTCATACAAAACTGTACCCATATGAAATTTTTATACTTTTTTGAGAGAGATATAGCTTTTTTTTGGTGGTATTTAATCACCACTGTTTTTTATTTTTGCTTGTTTTTCTTATTTTGTTATAAAATGTTGCAAATAAGTAATTTTTTTTCTTCTTCACTATTGTGTGCTGATGAGGCTGCGCTGATGGGCACTGATGAGGAGGTACTGATGAGGCAACACTGGTTAGCACTGATAATCAGGGAAAATGTGTTCTGTCAGCCTTGCTGGTTATCGGCTCTCCTTTCCTTACACAGTGACAGCGTGTGAAAAAAGGAAATGTCGATAACCGACAGGTTTGTTTACATGGGATCAACTATGATTGGACACAGCTGATCACATGGTAAAGGGCAACTGTCATTGGTCCTTTCCTTGATCTGTTATCAGTAGTCACAGGGTGCACCTGCTGCATGCCCCAGGTGGTGCGCGGGATGCATGTTCTGGGAGGACGACCATGGACATCCTCCCAGAAAAAGAGAGTCGCGATGTGGCTATCTTTCGGCTATGGCGCAGTACTAAGGTGGTTAAGGTGCAGTCAGGAGCAGTTTGCTCAATGCTGAATGGTGGGAGAGAGAGTGCATGTGTGTGACACTTCACAAAACTGATGACACAAATGCTCAGACCCTTAGCATTAAACTGCATAAAACAGGTATATCAAATGGTGCCACATGACCTGCTCATAAACTCAAGTCTTCGGAGGCAAGATCAAACCTGGGGCTGTTCCACAGCTCTGGACCCAGAACGAACAAAGAACACCAGGGACTTAGAAGCACCACAATGAGGAGCCCAGTGCTTGAATGTCATATTCCAGGTAAGCCCCGCAATCATCTAGTCCACAAAGACATAACACCTAGGCCTATTGCTGAGGAACATCCATCCAGATAGTGGTGTACAGACACGAGTTCAGCAGCATGTAGTTTAGAGTAGACTTAAGAAAAACAATCTTGACAGAAAAAAAAACCTCACTATAAAGGTTAGACTTTTCCCAGCAAAGAGAAAAGAAGTCCATCCTCTTTGGCTCTACTTAAAACCCGAGGCATGCTAAGAGTAAAAGTTGTTTTCTGTTTGCCAGTATCCAAATCCACCTGTCGGTGTCAGCAAAACCCAACAGTCAACAAAGAAATTCAGCCTTTGTGCCACAATCAATAAAAATGATGATGAAGACAGAGAGACAAAAAAAAATACAGTAGAGTTAAAGCTGCCATACATGGCTTGAATATCAGCCAATTTATTGTCTGATATTCAGCTGACTTTTGTCAAAGGACCAAGGTAGAACATTTGCAGCCAAACAGCACCTGTATCCAATCCAATGCAGGCACTGTTCAGGTATTGTGACAGCCACAGACGCTGGCTGTCAGAATAACGGAACAGTTCCTGCATCTGATAGTTGGCAGGGAAGATACATCCATTGGAACTGTTTTGCGTGGATAGAGGAATATGTTAGACTTCTTTTATTCAGCTTGCAAGCGGACAAAAAAATACCTGTGCGTGTATGGCTAGCTTTAGACAGGAAAACCAAAACAGTTTTGGTTCTTTAAGACAATTTCTGTGGAATTATAATACTGTTAACTGAAATCTATTCTTTATTTTACCTGACTGCTGCCTTTGGAATGGAGCCGTACAGAAGCGAGCTGAGCCCGCGGTACAGTCCCTTCACACCGTGACCCTGCACCGTCTGTCTCACACAATCCCCTGGAGAAGTTAGAAAAAACAACTGTGAAAATACAAATCACTTTCTTTCCAACACCACATTACAAATATCTTTAAATATTCCAACAGTAGTGGCGTACTTGGAGGGGGGAATGCAATCTGCACTAGATACCGGCCGATCCACTTTTTTTTTTTAATATGTTGCACAATGCTGTCAAACAGGCAGAAGCAGCGCTGTAGTACTAACATTATAGTCATTGCAGCACCACTTCTGCTGTAACAGCGGCTGTTCAGAACCAAGGCAAGGTTCCTCCTTTGCTCTGGTCCCATGACACAGTTCTCTGAGAGGAGGACTTTACTTGGTCTGATCTACTTACATCTAAGTACATCTGCACTAAAGGGGTGTCTGGACAGGGGGGGCTGAGGGGTTAGGCTGGAAGGGGGGTGGAGGGGCCTATTTATGGCTATAAGGGGAGATATGTACTGATGGGAGATTGGGACTGTTGGTTGACATTTGTACTGTGGGAGATATGGGCTTGGGGGAATATGTACTGGCAGGAGGGGGTAATTTTTGTTTGTTTGTATGGGAAGTGGAGAGGGGTAGTTGAAAAGAGATAGGCCCTGGGTGCCAGATATGCCAAATTCTGCAGATAGAGAACTTCTCCTGATATGGCTGTTACTCACATATTCCTCGATATCTTGGCGGGTTTGCCTTCTCATCTAGCTGTAGCTGGGTCTTTACATACTCTGTGGGAAATGTGATGCAGATCTCTATACCACCCGCAATTCCACCTTAAAAAAAACAAAAACATGGAAACAAGGTGTTCAAGCTGCAACATGGCACCAACAGAAAACAAATGCATTAAGTATTTAAACTATTTAAAAAATGAACCCGGAGGTGCTCTCCTTCCTAATCAAAGTTATATAACTGTAATTTTCTAAATAAGTTCAGAAAATATGAACTCATATCCTATTGGTTATGGACAGCAAATCCTCCAACTGCTATCTGGGGCTATATTAGTGAGATTTCCATTCACTTCTTTACCTGCCGACAACAGAAAGGAAGTGGGAAATCTGACAAGCGTTCTAGCCTTCTCTTAAAGCGTTACTAAACCCATAACAGTAAAATCAGTCTGTATATGGAGTAAAGCATGCTTGGTATACTCACTGTGGAACCTAAGGGGTTATTCCTCTGCAATGTGTAAAAAAGGATGTTTAATTCTGACTTCTCTGATCCTCCTCTATTTCTACTGTCCCCAATTCATTTTCTGATGGAAAAGAGACTTGGGGGCAAGCTGCACATGCTCAATTTGGGAAGTATTGCTAAAGAGTTTTTTTTTTTCTTGGGAGAGTGCATGTGATCAGCACAGAGCCAATCAGCACTGTCCAGACAGAGTGTTAGGGGTCCTGCAGCCTCATAGGACAATCAGAGGATAATGAAAACTCCTCCTACAAGCTTTAACCGGTGCTCGGCTAGACACTAATAGAAGTCACAAGACTGCTCTAACTACTGATGATAGAAGGTATTTTGCAGTTCATATTTACTAAAATAATTGTATTTCCATGTTCTGTGAACTGTGCAAAACCAGATATAGTGAATGCAGGGTCCTAGGTTTAGGAACATTAAGCCTGCTGAATCAATTCAAGCCATGGGTGGCTCTACTGGTACCACCCAGCTCGACAAGATTGTACAAAAAAATCATAGGAGCCAGCTGGTAAGTTTTTCGGTCAAACAGTGACTGCATCCAGTCAGATGCAGTCATTGTTCAGTTTATTCAGACAGCTGCAGGTACTAGCTATCGGAATACAATAGCTGTAAGGGAAGATGCTATTTTATTTCTCTTGTTCAGCCTACAGACTGAAATAGGGAAATCTCTGCCTGTATAATTAGTCTAACTGAAGATATATTTACTCTTATATATACGCAAAAAAAAGAGATTTGAGATCAAATGCAGTTTACACTTTGCATTTTGTAAATTAAAAAATATATATTTTAATTTATTTTTATCAAAGTATTCTTACGTTACAGCATTTCTTCATGCTTGCATAAAAAGTTTGCATAGTACTATACATCAAGATGTTATCATGTCACAAACTATGTTTACATCATGATGTTGCATATGTAAGCATGTGACATCATCAGACAGGCCTTGTTTCCTGGCGCCATATTGACCATATTGGCATAGAAATGGGGCGGGAGTGCCCGCCTCAGGCTGTTAGCCTGAGACAGCTGCTGGTCAGGCATCTGGGCAGATCCCGACATTATTGTTGGTATCCCTCCAGAGTCTGGACCTGCTCTGAGATGTTAGCAGGCAGCAGACCTTAGCCTGCTGTTGGCTGAATCTGGGTCACAGGAGTGCAGAACTAAGTGCAATCCTGTGACCCACAGAAGGAGGGCCAAAAGAAGTTTGGCCATACCTCTCCTTTAACAGGGAGCTGTTGGGGGCAGTAAAAACATGGCTCAACTGTTTTTTACCATACCCCAATCGCAGTCTAAGTGAGGCCTAAGCATTACTATTAAAATCAGGTACAAATTTAGTAAAAGCCACTGTTTTTTTTTGCAATGGCTTGTGTATGTATTTGCAATTCTGCATAGTTAACTGCAATGTGTTTGTACAGATGTGTGACAAATATCATTTTATTTGCAGCAATTTTGCATTTCACACATGCACAATAAAGAAGTGTATTTGTGGGGGATTTATGACTGAATCTGCAAAGTTGTAGAAAATCTGTTTCATAAAATGTATTGCTGCTAGATAAATCAGCTTATATGGATATTACAATAATACAGTAAATGAACCAAGTTGGTACTGTGTTTAGACTGTGGATATATAGTCTGTATAAATCTACAGAGCTGGCCTCCTCCCAAAGAATAGGCATGACTCAGCAGGTCACAATTCTGCCTTGTGATTGGAGAAGAATACACAACACCCCCCTTCTTGTTCAGTAATCAGAAGGCAGGCGGCCAGCATAATCATTTGGTCTGCAGCAACAAGACTGCTTATCTGCAATCACAATACAAATTTACTCCAAAGCTGCGATCTGTCTCTTATGTCCAATTTACAAATCCCAGAGCACATACAAGTAATAGCTAGAAATACTCTCCTTTCACTGAATCAGTAACTTTTTTTTTTTTTACACAATTATTAGATAAAAGAAAAGGTAACAAAATTCCACATGTACTGACCAGTTAGAAAGCACAGGTAATACACAGACGAGTGGATGGATATTTCTGAATACCAGTGTAATGTCCATAACAAATTGATAAAGACTACTACTGCAACCAGTGTAATGCATGGCATAATTGAGGTCATTTGTTTGGAGCTGGTGCCACGGTGTCTGGATGTGATTGGTTTTGATCTTCTCTTTGATATGTGCATACATTATTTTACATAAGAGGCACATATATCCTCCTTTTTATGTGCTAAGTCACTGAAAGAGGAGAAAATGGCCAAATGGAAAATGGAGACAAAAGGTAAGATACTATGGGATCACAAAAATTAAAACTGGGTATGACACATACAGTATGTTGGGGGGGAGCCTGGATGCAGCAAACCATAGAAACAATTACTTAGGTTCCATCTTCTCAGAGGTAAATAACATGAACAAAATCAAGTTGGGGGAACATATTGGTTCCAGCAGTTTCTAGAGACAGAGGTAGCAGGTGAACTGGCTCGTTTAACCACTTCCCCTCTGGAGCACATTTTTGGTTACCCTACTATCTGGATTATTAAACCCCAAACCAAAATGTAAAACATTGCAGCTTGCCTGTCAATAGATATACCGTTTCCCCCAAAATAAGACCTACCCCGAAAATAGGACCTAGTACTATTTTTGGGATTTGCAGAAGTATAAGACCTACCCTGAAAATAAGACCTAGTTGTGATCAGGGATTTTTTTCCAGCTGGAACATGGCGGAACGCGGTTCTGCCGTCTCCGGCACTGGCCCTGTGCACACCAATATCTACTGTCTCTTATAAACACAGAAACGCTGCTTTTGTGTTTGCAAGTGACAGTCCCTCGTGTAAGTGACAGCACCATCCGCTCCCACAGAACCCCCCTACCTCTGTACTCACTGAGGGATATAGAAGGAACAGATATCTGTGGGCGCAATGTGTTGCAGGGCGGGGCGGGGTATCTCCTCCTGCAGCCTAATGCATGGAAGCTGATGCCCCAGGGGTAATCGCCGGCCAGTGTGGAAGAGGTCTAGAAGTGAGTGAGTGGGCTTGGCGCACTGTGTGGGAAGATAGGATGCAAAGCGGGAGTTACTATAGAGAGGGGCCAGCTGCTGACAGCTGTGTTTTGCAAAGATAGCTAACCATATGAGGGCAGTGGAGGGGGAAGGAGGGATGTGCAATGGTGAGATGCAGTCAGGTGTTGCAGAGGTAAATTGACAGGTGAGTTGCAGACAGGGTGCATAGGTGAGCTGCAGCTGGGGGGTGCAGAGGTGAGCTGAGTTGCAACCAACCTCTGCACCCCCTGGCCACAGCTTGCCTTTGCACCCCCCAGCCACAGCTCACCTCTGCACCCCCTGTCCGCAGCTTACCTCTGCACCCCCTGTCCGCAGCTTACCTCTGCACCAACTGCACCCTGTGTGTGGCTCATCTCTGCACCTTTTCTGAAATTCACCTGTCAATTCACCTCTGCAACACCTGACTGCAGCTCACAACTGTCATCAGCCGGCCCTCTCTATAGTAACCCTCATCCACAACTGCCTGCAGCTCACCTCTGCACCCCCTGTCCACACCTGGACATTAAAAAAATAAGACCTACCCCGAAAATAAGACCTAGTGTGTTTTTTTAAGCCAAAAAAATATAAGACAGTGTCTTATTTTCAAGGAAACACGGTAGTGGCTGCATTCGTTTTCTTTGTAGGTTTTTTCCCCTCTCTTTTCACCTGACCATCTCCAGCTCATGCTTTATAAGCAGCTACACCAACAGATTTTACCTTTTGGGATAAAAGCTTTACATAAATAAAAGCTGATCATTGTAAGCCCCCGTCAGTGGTAAATGGTTTGTTT